TGTTACCCTTTGTGCCCATTGGTGTATCCAAACGTTAAGTCATTGTCTACTAAAAAGAATCACATCGCCATCCGTTTTTTGGATGGTCAGAACATGAAGAATGCATTCCCAACAACAATAGATCCTGCACCGAGGGGCTATTAATCGCAGGGCGTTACCTACAAAATGGGACCTGCAGGTGGCCAAGTTTCAATTAAAACCAGCTAAAACGAGATAAAACTAGGATAAGAGTGGGAATATCAAAATTCTAGATTGTTAACGCTAATCCCAATAGAGCAGTACTGAGTACAAAAAAAGAGGATCACCGTAAAAGATCCTCATGGTGAAAGGGGTGAAAGGGTGAAAAAGGCTACCAGATGGGCAACACCACCGACCAAATTAACAAGATCAGCAAAGGAAAGGGAGCAATGGTACCGAAAAGAGCACCGGAAGACTTCCGAAAGAGAGAGAACTGGGCAACAAATTTCTCACAAAGCCCTGCCAAAAGCACCAAGGGGAATCAAAAGGGGGCAAAGGGCTTCCCATTCAATGGGGCCTTGGCTGCCAATTGACAACCTGGAAGGACCCTAGTCCCAGTCCACCAGATCATCGTAGGAACGCTTGCCCTTCTTCTTTTCTTGTTCACGGCATCGGAATCGGGCTGGTGGTCTTCCTTTCACAATATTGCAACATCCATTCAGCATTTGTTGTTCTGACATCTTGGGCATTGGGCTTGGACCGGGCATCCTGAACCTCAAGCTTGAGGGCATCGTAGCGCCTTCGGCCTGCAATGGACCAACCTCCATACTTGGAATTGCCCACCTTGGAGTTTGAGTACTTGGTAGCAAACTTTTTTGTTTCCGAGTCCTTGCTGCTGCCTTTGGGGGCAGTCCATTTCTTTCTGCCACAGTACTTGTTCCCAGGCTGGAAGCAGAGGTACCATCTGGTGTAGGAGTTCTCGTAGATGATGAGGGTCATTGCCTCAGATCCGGGAGGAACACACAGCTTTCCCTTCCACTCGGCCACACTAATCAACTGGTTGTGGCGGATTGACTCCCGAAACCAGCTGGATGCACCAGCAACACATGCAAAAGCTTCTCCGGTTAAGGGAAGAATGCAAGCTTTATTATCCTCACGCTAGCTGCCGTTTCTTGTCACTGGCATCTTGGGAGTCCTTCAAGAGGAACCTCCTGCATCACCACAGCTTTGATCTGTTCCGGAGTTGGCATTTTGTCGAGTCCATGTGCAGGACAAAAGTCCTCGGTCTTGATGTACATCTGGTTCCCGACGAAGTTGCGTTACTCGTTCATGATTGCCGTAATAGCATCTTTCCAATGGGAAACCCATGCGGCGCGCCTTTCCTTTATCACTGTAAAGAAAGAGAAGAACAACGGTTCCATATTGGTCAGGTGCACTGAGCAAATCTCTCTCTTTTTTTTTCTGGAGCACCGGTTGCCTAATTGGAACCTTGGACTTGGTTCGGAAGGAGAGGTTGGGATGTGCTTCCCAAACGAGACCTGAGGTCTCGTTTTCAGAATTACCTACAATTGCGCTTCTTAGATGCACCAGGAACTGCCTTGCTGGTCCAATAAATACCCTGTGGGGTAATCGTCGGCGATGAACGCAATGGTTAGTTCTGTCAGGGATTGATGCTTCGTTCCACTGATGACTGAAAACTTGATCACGTTCTTCGACGGTTTCGGTTTGGATTTTCGTTCTGGTCGGGGTTCTCCTACAAGGTGTCTCTCAAGTCGTTCGATGGATTCTTTCATCGAGACTAACTGTCCTACGACAAAATTGTTTGTGATTCTGCTCTCATTCTTGATTGCGTGGCGGATGTCGTTCACTTTATGTTCGAGATTTTGGAGTTTCATGTGGTTTGATTGAGCCAGCGAGGCGAGGACGTTGAAGTGGTCAACCATGCAACGGGGATCCACAAGGATTTGCTTTCCTTCGCCGCCGTATAGAGCAAAATTCTGGTTCGGGAGACCTGGCATGTTTCGGGTTAGGAAAGCCTTCCGGGCTTCGCGGGTCCAATCGTCTAGTAAAAGTTCAGCGTCGGCTTTCACCAGTGCTTGGTGGATGCGACAAAGAAAGGGGTTATCCTGTACGGTCGATTTGATGAATCCGCCATCTTGTCGACCTTCGACAAGTTCTGTAAGCAGGTGACATTCAAGGATTTCACAGAACTGATTGTATCGTAGTAGAAGGGTCATAACCAATAGTTCTCGGACTTGGGGGCTCCAGAGATTCTTCACATCGTCCGCGAACAACACATTGGTGAATTTTTTCAGTACATCGACGTCTGTTTCAATATCATCAAAGGTCGGAGATTGGCCACCGAAAATCGTGTCACCGTGGTACTTGGTTGTCCAGTTGGCTAGGGCTTTACCGGCTTGGTGTGACATTTTGAGGGACCCGCTGATGTAGTCCAACACTGAATGGAGACCACCGACCGACCAACCGGTTCTGAATATTCCTGCCATACCGTTCAAGGCGAGACATTCTGCCATTTCCTGGTTGGATCCTTTCCGATTAGAATGGGAAGACAATGCTTCGTTGATCTCATTGGTTAACAACTCAAAGGTGTTGCGTGCTTCCTCAAATAAGTTAGAGAATGCTTTGGAGACACCGCTATCGGATTTGCCTGATGTCATCTTCAGTGCGGCTTTGGAGAAGAGTGGGAAGGTGTATTCATTGTTGCAACCATTCAATACCAACAGATGAAGAAGAGAGAAGTAGAAGTCTTCGAGGAGACCGTCTCTGTGGGGGTAGATAGGGAGAGTCTGTGGTTCGTTGTCTTTTTGACGTTGGCACTAGGCTGCAAGGACTGGATAACGATAGACCTCTTCATTTACCTCGATGACGGTCGTATCTCTTGCTTTTATTAGGGATACTTCACTACCGCGTCCGCAGCAGTGGTAACTGGTGTTTAAGAGATGCCAGAACTCGGCGTATTCCGGTGTTTTCAACCAGATGCATGCGGTTGCCAATGCTTCTCGGTCTCGTCGTGTGCTGGTTGCTTTCTCTTCTGTTTTTCATTTGCCAGCGGCTCGGTTGGATTCACGGTAAAATCCTCTTAGCTTCTTCAACAACTGGCTCCAATGTGTTTGTTGGAGGATGGGGATTGGGGTCTCGTTTCTGAACTTGTCGACGAAGTAAGTTTTGACCCCAGAACAATATTGCTCGGAACTGCTTCCTGCGAGCTTCGTTTTATTCCCCATGAAAAAGATGAAATTCCCGAACAGATTGTCCCAGAATACAGTGATGGCTTTGGGGGAGGTCTGGTGGGGAATGCCATGGTAGGGTATGTCGGTGCCTTCTATCACATCAATATTAATTTGTAGACAGTATCCTTTAAGAAAATTGTTCAAATATTTGAAGGCTTTCTTCTGTCTCGAGGTGGATGAAACAAAGAGGCAGGACAGGGCGTGGACAGTGAAGGTTGCAGCCTCATCGTCGTCTTCATCCGCCATGTTTCGGGTGAATTATGAGACGGAAGATAGATGGGGTCAGTTTTTCCAATGGTATGAACTTCCATCCTTGCTTGGTTGTGAGAGTTCGCGCTACGAATCACCGGGCGTTTAAGGCATTGAATATGCTCGTTTTGTGAAGAGGTGTGCGCTCGGTTTTATGGGTCTGGAGGGTCTGTCAGGACGACTCTGGGTCTAGAAAAAGTTTGGTAAAGTAGTAGTCCACACCGCATGCAACCCATCTACTGTATGCATCGCATCGTGCCATCCCCTCTCCTCATCATAGCTCTCTCAAACCCATAGTAACTTTCCCCGATCATGCATTGATAGCATGAATAACGGGGATACCGTACGGGGATAGAGTGGCATGAATAACTGAGCCTCACTTACTACTTGTCCTTCCTCCTCTGAAGCTACTTCTCACTCGATCGAGTGCATTTGAGTGGCTCAATTACTAGCTAGTAGACTCTTGCAGCCACTGCACAAAATGATACCAAAAGTAGGACAGTGTCGCGACTTGCCAAGAAGGAATGCCCCCGTGTTGCATCTTAGCTAGCAAGCTAGCGCTAGCTAGTGGCTTGCTTCACTTGAAATGCTGTCGTGGCTTTTTTTCTCCTTTTCTTCTATCTGTTGTGCCAACCAAGTCTCCCGTGAAGATTGCCGGGTAGCTAGTACACGTGTACCCGGTACCCCTTTTGCGACGGCATGGATGTTTGCAGATCTCGGTTTGTGAGGGCATGGATGTTTGCATGTTTGCAGATCCAAATCGTGACGTCATTACCGTACGGTATGTTCAGTTAGTTAGGTCTATTCATCAACAGAGGTAAATCAGGCTGCACATGGTAAGTCGCACATCGTACGGTACATGCTATGGTGGCCGCATGACATAAATTATCTCGATATGCAGCCTGTACCATAATATTATGCGCATGCCAAACTCAGCTGTAATCACAGACATCTACCGGTTCAATAGGGGCACACAGTATCTATTCGTATTCATGCATGCAATGACCCAGTAAAGACAAAACTAGTATCATTTAAAAACAAGAGGACTTTCTGTTGAATGTGAAGGGAAAAACTGTGAGTATCTCATTTCAGTACAGTATGGTAGAGACAGTTGATGTCTCTCATAATTATTACGACACCACCTGAAAACATCAGCTAAAAAGCAGAACAGTCTATTTATTCCTACGAGCAGTACTTATTTGCTACTCGTACTTATGACAGACTCCGAGAACTCTGAAGGCATCGGCGGATCTGTGGCACGGTGGTACAGCCAAAGGTACATTACTAGCTAGTACTGTAGCTACTATTACATGTGTAGCAGCAGTAGTACAGTACCGGTACTCTATGCATTCTTCATTCTATTCACGCAATTGGATCATTCGCTTCAGTTCATTTTCAACCTCACTGGTATCAATCAAGCTTTTGTCTCTCTTTCTGCATGCCCAGCGGCCATGCAGCTGCATGGCATCGTAATGCAACTTTCAACACTCTCACAAAATGAAAAACCAAGCGAACAGCTAGCTAGCCTCAGCAGTGCCAACCATGAAGGTCTTCTACAAGTATCGCGCAACAGTCCTCTTTCCATTGGCCATTACTGCTGTGTTGGCCCTGTCTTGCCATCATGGGGCCACTGCCTTGGACATTGTTGCTCTCCATCCCACCACCAATTATACCATGTCAGTGTCGGAAACAACGAAGAACCAGGTGTTGAAGGTATTGTCAACGACCTCAATGAAGAGTACACAGCAGCATGCCTACACGAGCACTGCCGCCAAGAGGAAACCAAAGACAACAAGGAAAGATGATGGTGATCACAAGATCTCATCGTCAAAGGCTACGGGGCTCTTCTACCTGGCCGGGTTCTTTGGTTTCCTATTGTTCGTTACTGCATAACTTCATAATCTAGATCCTTACATACTGTACTTTACATGAACTTGACTGTAGTACCGTACACTGTAGTCGACTAGACTTTGTGGGGAGGACACACAGGCTACCGTACATTTTGCCACCGTACGCGGTTGCCAAATGCACCATACCGGTACATACATACATGTTGCGTCTTCTACCTAGCTAGCTAGTAGCTAATTTAGTTTTGATGATCTCCTTCATCGCGGCGCCCCACTAGAGTCTTCGTCCACACCATGTGTTTCGGTACGGTAGTACTCATCGGTTGCATTTCAACTTTTTGAAACAACCAACCAGCCACGGTCGCCACAAGGCCACTTCCATTATGTATACCATACTTTGGTGGATGCCTGACCATGGAGCAAAGCAGTGCCGCAGCTAGAATAATTGAGGAGCGGGAGAAAGCAGCTTGCCTCCAACCGTTGTCCCAGCAAAACAAACTGGACTTTACTCTCCTGACCATAGATTCAACCCTCCTTGCTGGCTCAAAAGAGGCTCTCAAGGCTCTGGCGGCGGTCGCAGTGCGGTACCGTAAAAGTATATCCAGAACTGAGAGAAATACTGAGAGCCTGTACGAGTAGTAGGCATCCTACAGGAGGTATCAAGAGGTATCCATCGTACATGGTACCCAACACCTGGTGTATGCAAGGTGGATGTTAATACCAGTGAGGAGCGAGCGAAAGGTCACCGCCTTGGCCGTAAGATAAATGAGGTTCGCACCTCTACTACTCACTGTTAAGATAACGGACGCACCTCTATCTCCAAAACTCGAAAAAGCACAAGTCCACGAATCCACGAAATCGCTCGCTAGCTACTAGCTACTACTAGCTACCCACGTACGTTCGAAAAGCACAAGTCACGAAAACGAAAAACATCAATAAGTACTCATGTAACAGACTCACTATAAGGCATGGCTACCATGCTTATTAAACTAAGGTCAACTTTACTGAGAACGAACAATACAAAGATCCTCATGCAGACTGCCATAATGGTTCCTGCTTGATGGCAGCAGTAATATTCAAAACACTTCTTTGTAATGCTCCTCAATCTTGGAGATGACCCAAGCTGGAGCTTTTGAGCATTGACAAGTGTAGCCATGAGATCCAGAGTGGCTTCCTCCTGGAGTAGGTTGACTTGCAAACCTGATATCATCAGCAGTGAAGTTCTTGGCTGGCTTGTTGCCACCAATACCATGCATCCACTCTTGCCAACAGAGCCAACAGTTCTGTACTTGGCTAGCTTGGCAGGCTACTATCAGCAGGGTGGTGGCACAGCTGTCTGTACCTGAGGCTAGTCTGGCCATTCCGGCGAGTCCTTTCCACAGTCAACCCATTTCTAAAAAGATTACCATCTACCTGATCAGGTGTTGCCATCCTTGGAGGCTGAACAGCAATCCTAAAAAGGATACAAAAATATAGAGTTAGCAGCAATAATAGCCATGGTTGCAATAGCCAACAGCCACAAGTCCACACTTACCTGCAAATATTTCCATTGAGTTTCGTCAGCTCCGCGCCAAGCCAAGTCTCCAACCAACCTCTCAAAGCAGCAGCCGAACTGTCGCGGGTCCTACCTTCTTGCGCAATGAGCTGCTGGAGCTGGTTGTGCTGCGCAATAATCCTTGTCAGAATCTCCTCGTTCGTTCGTACCTGTTGTTGCGTTTGCATAGCCGTCACCTGCCGAGACTGATTGCAACTTGACGAGTGCTTGCCTGGCCGGTCGTTCCCGTAGTGCCGCCATCGTAGTGCCACCAGCCGTCCACCGCCGCCTCCCGTATCCATCGGCTCGATTTCTTGATGTGGAGCTTGGTGTTGTGCGTCCAAATAGAGAGAGGCACTTTCACCACAGGTTGACGCCAACAGGAACATCGGCCTTGATGCGCTCGTACGCATCTTGGATCCTAACACGAACGGGAGGCTCATCCTCTCCTCCCAAGATTCGTCAAGAGCAGCCCACAAAAGAGGCAGAGCCAAGTGAAGCGAAATGTCGTACACCGTCGTAAAACGCATGCGTCCTTGGCACCACATGCTCAATCACCAGTCGGGAGTCACTCTCCTGGCATCCGGGTGTAGCTTGTAGGCAATAGGAGCCCCATGCAAAGCTTTTCGGCAACACGAGCGTCGATCCAGGGCTGTTCAGGCGAAATGTAGGCACAACAACCCGTCCAGACAAGCCAGCCTTCCAGCGACCTCGAATGTCAACTTCGTCAGCAGTAGCACCCATCCCTCTTCCAGAGTTGCAGCAAACTTCCGAATGCTGTGACTCCCAAGAACACCAGCAATGAGGAGCGCCACAGCCAGAATGGAGCCGACAAAAAGACAGCCTTGAGAATGTTGCGGTAGGCTGCGTTGCAGTGCTTGGGAGCAACTTGGGATCGCTTTCGGGAGTAAAGAGGAATGCATCTTCCCGACCAGCGGCGCCATACCCGTAGTTGAAGGACGCTCCATGTAATTCGCCAATCCGAGCATAGCACAAAAGTCGGTATCCATCGACCCAAGAATAATTTGGTCAGGCATTGTCGTTCTTCTGAAATATTCTTCGACCAATGCACCTTGCAACTGAGCGCAAAAGGAAGTCTGGATGCGGCTTGTAGTCGGATACTTCAACTTGGAGATGTCTCGTCCTGGTGATGAGATGGACTTCTGCTTCAACATGCAGGCTGACGGATGGTCGATTCAAAGCTCCTTTGCCGTAGAGTTCATGGACCACCTTGCGATACTCATTTCCGTCAAATCCCTGGTGGCACAGGACTTCTTGCCGCGGTGTTGAGTCTCCGCTTTCTTGACTTCCTTGACCACTTCGTTCACAGGATCGGACTTGTTGGATTGCCGGAGGTTCCATTCCATGTGGCACCTTTGATGGGCATGTAAAAGGAAAAAGCCTTTCTTTCTTGCTCAAGAGTAGAGGAGCGGCAAGTGGATTCTGCTCGAGGTCTTTGAAGTCAACGTCCGTCGTACCATACGCACGCCATTTCAAGTAGTCAGCAACGTGATGTGGTTGGATGCCGGCCAAAGCACTGGGTTGGAAGCGAGCCGCCTTGGTGTACGTCCTCTTGTGCAGCCAGCTCATGAATTTGACAAAGAGTCGATGGTAATCCCGGTTGTACTTGGGCTGTTCCGTGGGTGCTTCAGGCAAATCCGGCACGTCTTCCAACCCAAAGGCTCCATCATTGGCATTGTTGGCCATGGTGGAAGAATTGTTTGGTCAACTAAGCAATTGTTTGTTTGGTTTGGTTGAGCTGGAATTTTGGCAGAGTTTCCTTTACAGAGTAGAAGGAATGAAAATAATGAGCTCAAAACTGAGGAAAACTGAGGCTGTTGGTGTCGGAGCATACATCGTACAGAGTGTTCGCGCTAGTAGGATACTAGTACGACCACTGCGTTGTTTGCCTCTTTACAGCACGGGATTCTTTTTTGCCTCTTACTTTGCCGCACGGGATTCACTGAGTATGCTGCAACGACGTAGGATCCAACGATCGATCAGGTACGATTGGATCTTTTGGCTTGAGTATACCCTACCCCCTACCTGCAACGTGCAACGGTTGGATCGCATTGGAATGGTACCGTATGTGTTGCGATACTTAGGGTGAAATTGGAATCCTCTCAGTTCTTTATGTATTCAGGCGCCAGCCATATATCTTTGCTGTTGCAGTTTATTTAATAATGAGAGTCTTATTGAGAGGATCTTTGTTTCAATGACTGCCGATACTGTAGACTTTCTACGTAGCATACTGTCATTGATCCTGAGGGTATGTAAGATCCCCATAGTAGTAGAGGGAAGCACATACTGGGCCTGTGCAACTACTGTTGCAGAAATGTAGTACCGGTACAGTACTCATTGTGCTTTGGCCGCATCAACCACATCACGTTGCTGACTACTTGAAATGGCGGTGCGTATGGTACGACGGACTTGACTTCAAAGACCTCGAGCAGAATCCAACTTGCCCTCCTCTACTCTTGAGCAAGACAAGAAGGCTATTTCCTTTTACATGCCCATCAAAGGTGCACATGGAATGGAACCTCCGGCATCCAACCAAGTCCGATCCTGTGAACGAAGTGGTCCAGGAAGTCAAGAAAGCGGAGACTCAACACCGCGGCAAGAATCCTGTGCCACCAGGGATTTGACGGAAACAGAGTATCGCAAGGTGGTCCATGAACTCTACGGCAAGGGAGCTTTGAATCGACCATCCGTACAGCCTGCATGTTGAACAGCAAGTCCATCTCATCACCAGGACGGATGACATCTCCAAGTTGAAGTATTCCGACTACAACCGCATCCAGACTTCCCTTTTGCGCTCAGTTGCAAGGTGCATTGGTCGAAGAATATTTCAGAAGAACGACAATGCCCTGACCAAATCATTCTTGGGTCGATGGATACCGACTTTTGTGCTATGCTCGGATTGGCGAATTACATGGAGGCGTCTTCAACTACGGGTATGGCGCCGCTGGTCGGGAAGATGCATTCCTCTTTACTCCCGAAAGCGATCCAAGTTGGCTCCCAAGCACTGCAACCCAGCCTACCGCAACATTCTCAAGGCTCTCTTTTTGTCGGCTCCATTTCTGGCTGTGGCGCTCCTCATTGCTGGTGTTCTTGGGAGTCACAGCATTCGGAAGTTTGTGCAACTCTGGCAAGAGGGATGGGTGCTACTGCTGACGAAGTTGACATTCGAGGTCGCTGGAAGGCTCGCTTGTCTGGACGGGTTGTTGATGCCTACATTTCGCCTGAACAGCCCTGGATCGACGCTCGTGTTGCCGAAAAGCTTTGCATGGGGCTCCTATTGCCTACAAGCTACACCCGGATGCCAAGAGAGTACTCCCGACTGGTTGATTGAGCATGTGGTGCCAAGGACGCATGCGTTTTACGACGGTGTCAACGACATTTACCTTCACTTGGCTCTCCTCTTTTGTGGGCTGCTCTTGACGAATTTTGGGAGGAGAGGATGGAGCCTCCCGTTCGTGTTAGGATCCAAGATGCGTACGAGCGCATCAAGGCCGATTTCCTGTTGGCGTCAAACCTGTGGTGAAAGTGCCTTCTCTATTTGGACGCACAACACCAACTCCACATCAACGAAATCGAGCCGATGGATACGGGAGTGGCGGTGGCACGGCTGGTGTGCACTACGGGAACGACCGGGCTAGGCAAGCACTCGTCAAGTTGCCAATTAGTCCGGCAGTGACGGCTATGCAAACGCCACAACGAGGTACGAACGAACGATGAGATTCTGACAAGGATTTTGCGCAGCACAACCAGCTCCAGCAGCTCATTGCGCAAGAAGGTAGGACCCCGACAGTTCGGCTGCTGCTTGAGAGGTGGTTGGAGACTTGGCTTGGCGCGGAGCTGACGAAACTCAATGGAAATATTTGAGGTAAGTGTGGACTTGTGGCTGTTGGCTATTGCAACCATGGCTATTATTGCTGCTAACTCTATATTTTTGTATCCTTTTTAGGATTTCTGTTCAGCCTCCAAGGAGGCAACACCTGATCAGGTAATGGTAATCTTTTTAGAAATGGGTTGACTGTGGAAAGGACTCGCCGGAATGGCCAGACTAGCCTCAGGTACAGACAAGCTGTGGCCACCCACCCCTGCTGATAGAGGCCGCCAAGCTAGCCAAGTACAAACTGTTGGCTCTGTTGGCAAGAGTGGATGCATGGTATTGGTGGCAACAAGCCAGCAAGAACTTCACTGCTGATGTATCAGGGCTTGCAAGTCAAACTACTCCAGGAGGAAGCCAATCTGGACTCTCATGGCTACACTTGTCAATGCTCAGAAACTCCAGCTTGGGTCATCTCAAGATTGAGGAGCATTACAAAGGAAGTGTTTTGAATATTACTGCTGCCATCAAGCAGGACACCATTATGGGCAGTCTGATGAGGATCTTTGTATTGTTCGTGCTCAGTAAAGTTGACCTTAGTTTAATCAGCATGGTAGCATGCCTTATAGTGAGTCTGTTACATGAGTACTTATTGATTGTGGGTTTCGTTTCGTGGACTTGTGCTTTTCGAACGTACGTGGGTAGCTAGTAGTAGCTAGTTAAGCTTAGGAGCGATTTCGTGGATTCGTGGACTTGTGCTTTTTCGAGTTTTGGAGATAGAGGTGCGTCCGTTATCTTACAGTGAGTAGTAGAGGTGCGAACCTCATTTATCTTACGTGCCAAGGCGTGACCTTTACTAGTGTCTCCGGATAGACGTTGCAATCGCTCTCTGGACTTACAGACTCGTTGCATACACCAGGTGTCGAATGCGGTTTGACCCTTGTACGAATGGATTAGCCTCTTAGACCTACTTCCTTCAGTAGGATGCGCTGACACTGTACAGGGCTCTCAGGGTATTTCTCTCAGTTTCTGTCGCGATATATACTTTTACGTAGGTACAGCTGTACCTTGTTGGAGCGCACGAGGGGGGGTATGCTCAATAAATACGAACTTTGCCCCAGATCACATCATGGTGCTCCTTCGTGGTTGTGAATCCTGGTCAACAATACTCCCACAGTCCTCGTCTCCTGAATCAATAACAAAGTGCTGTACGCCCGAAAACGGAGAAGATTTCTGTAGTTGTAACTCAGAGGTAAATCAATCATGTATGATGGAAGGCCACTTCGGGAATCCTTCAGATTGAGGCAAAATCTCTGGTTGTTGCATGCTTGTCCACCTTTCCTCAGGCGGTTCGCACCTATTGCTGCAAGCTTCAAGATCACCGTAATTGCCTCGATCAAAGCATATCAAGCGGAAAGGACAGCTACATGTATGCATACTGGTTACTGGTAGAGATGCAGGGTGTGTTGCAGCACTAGTACCCTACGTACATCACGATGAAAGCCAATCCTTTGGCATCCTGACATGTGCATGGCTGACCAGCGGAAGTTAACTAATTCATAAAGGCTCAGCTGGCCGCAG